CACAAGAAATGCGATGCCTAAACTTTAAAATGAAATATCTTTCTTGAAGCTTTTATTTTACTTTTAATTTCAAGCTAATAGATTAAATTTATTATTTCTAATAAACAAAATTCTCTGCTTTCTCTTTTTTAAAAAAAAATCTTCCAAAAATAAAATATGATTCCTGAAACTTTATTTGATGAATATCAGATGACTTAAAGTATAATTAATATGATTTCAAACAATTATTATTTACTTTATGTTGAAAATATTGCAGAAATGTATATTTTACCACACAATAGCTGTGCTTTTAACTGAGAGTAGCCATGTTTATGTGTTTGACAAGGTGATAACAGATCTAATGTTCTACAAAGACTTTATTTGTAAAACATAATTGAAGAAAATGACGAGAGCACGTTTTTATATAATTTTAATGTACTCAGCAATCTTAAAAATTTAGGAAAATATTCTCTGTAATCTAATGTTCTATTGAATTTTACAAATTCTGGCTTTAAATTTACTATAGTTATCTCTCTTATTTTCTGATAATATCTTGTATGGTCACCCATACTTCTGAAAAAATGGCATGCTTATGCACTAATAAAAAATTTCAAAATTATTTTTAAATTATTGGTGCATGATGATGTGTATTAGCCTTTTCCATTTATGATTAGAAAATATCATTTTTACTTAATACTAATATAATCAAAACCACTGAAATTAATACATAATTTTAAAAGATCTAATACTTAATAAATTTTTCAAAGTAAAATTTAGAAAAAAACAATTCTTGTAAAAATTCATTATTCATCAAAATTTCTTTTTTTTAAGACAATAGTGTTTTTAATATATCTTATTTATAAAAACAAAAGCTTTTTTAATGAAATAATGTTATAGTTTTGTTGCATTTTTGATTTTATGATCCAGGGCAGATTTTGGTAAATTGTGTTTCTTTTTTAACAAAAACAAATTGATGATTTAACTTTTCCAAGGAATCCTGCTTTTAACTAATATAAATATGAAAAGGGTGGAATTTTAATTTCTGGAAATTTCATAAAATCAAAGTAAGTGGGAGTTAACACATAAAAACAAGATTTTTACCAAGATTTTCTAAAACTAATATTTCAAAAATAATTTCATTCATTTGTGAATAAGTCTTGAAAACTTAATTAAAATCCAACAATTATGTGATTTTTGCAAGAATTTCCAAAACGAGACATTAAATTTCCATACTGATCTTTGGACCATCCACAAGATGCAAAAAAACAAGATTTTTAACCAAAATTTTAAATGCGCTAGAAAAGAGTAAAAAATTTAATAAAATAATAAAAAATACATTGGGCTTTCCTCTTAATAATAACAAACATTTTGACGATTGTTTTTATCAAGTTTGGGGCATTTTTCATAATTGTATGCTTTTTTTATAAAATTTTTGGAGGTACCTGTTATTATATAATTACTAGCAGCATGGCCCGGCGTTGCCCGTGCTTGATTCAAAAATCGTACGACTCATACAGCAATCGCTATCCTATGACTTAAAATAAAATATTTTTGCCCTTCCTTGCCTTTAAAGGAGTGCCCTTTGCCATGCTGATGTTGCTACATGCCTTACTTCTTGCCTATCTCACACTGCGAATTTTTCTCTAAGCTCTATACTAAACATGAAATCTGTTACGAAAAAAGAACTAAACAAAATGAACACAAAACGATCAGCTTTAAAAAAGGACTCATAACTGGAAAAACCGAATGAAAAAACAATGTTAACAACAAATACTTTTTCACACCCAACCCAGTTTCCTGAAATATTGAGACTGGTCATACTATTTTGGTGGGGTTGTTGTTGCCCTTGTTTTGTTAATCCGGTACTTTGGAAACCATACATTGATCCGATTTTAAGTTCAAATATAAAGAGCTCAAATGTGTTTAACAACGCGAAGTCAACTGCACAGAGTCCAAGGTAAAATCTTAGATGTACTGGGCCGCGTAGTGCAGGCGAGACATTCAACTTAAAATCCCCCAAATCCATATCACCTGTGAGTTAATCGTTTTTTTTGCAAAGTTTGAGTCCTAAATAAATAATCGGGCTCCAGCATGACACAATGATGTAAATTGAAAAATCGGATCTGGAATGCGGCCTGAGAGAAAGAACAAAGTTTAAAGAAGTGGGAAATGAACTGCTGAGGGCATGGTCAACACGGAGGTTTGTATCGATTTTTGAGTCACGACGGGGTCACACGGCATTCTATGCAAGGCACCTCTAACTGGGCCGCGTAGGAATTTCTGGTTGAATTGTAAAGAACGCCCGAAATTTTAGAATGTAATCCGCCCAAATACCGGAGTACCAGCCGATTTACCAATTTTTTGAAAGCCTGAGTCCAAATTGAAAATCTGTCTCCGTTACGAATTGACGCCGTAAATGTCGGAAGTTGAATCGACATTTGACGTTAATTGCAGCCTGGGCGTGAAAAGAAGTCAAAAACTGACAGCTGATGGCAGGGTCGAACCGGAGCTTTTGATCGTTTTTTTTTGCTGCACGACGGGTCTCGCACGCATTTTTGAAAGGGCCCGTAATCTGGTCGGGGTCATTCATTTCTGTACATATGGTATGGTGATGTGAGGAGAGACAATTGATGCTTGTAACTATACATTAGTTGGCGATGAGTTCAATGCTTCACAGTAATGCGGTAAAGGGGAGCAAATGCTTATCCCAAGGATGCATTTGTATCCATCAGATGCCGATATACCCTTCACTTTCAGAAGATCCCCATTCCCATTCGCACCCTGTTTTTCTATGACAATTGATAAGGCCCAAGGACAAACGCTGTCTGTCACTGGTGTACACTTAGAGGAGCAGTGCTTCTCATACGGCCAACTTTACGCGATGATGTGTTCCTTTATTCACCCTCACAAAAAGCTGAAAATGTGGTCTACACTGAAGTCCTCAGCCAGTCCTCAGCAAACTCCATTCCATTTTTCCTTTCCATGCAAGAAAATTGAGGTCCCTGCCAAATCAAACATATTGAATGCTGGATTTGTGGTTTTGAATAGAGACATAGCTGAACACAAAAAATTCAAATCTTGAGACATCTTTTCGTATGCAATCAATCGCTGAATGCAAAAAAGGGACGCATCTTTTGCCCAAAAGACGGCGCTGCCACTTCCACAATCAGCATCACAATGCGTGAGCAGTTAGATGTTGTTGCAACGTAATCGATTAAAGTTTTTCCTCGAGAAGCTTCCTCAGTTTGATCACTCAAATCGAAGAGTAATAGGTCTTTTCAGTTCTGCAGTGGTGTGTGCAGCTGAAGCATGCATTGTACACCATACCCAACTCTCTCAAATGCCCAAACGCTAAAATGAGTACTGATTTACGTGGACGCGCTCGACTTCTCTGACAATTAAACGAATCTCTTCAGTTTTTGCAATACGATTTGTTACAACTTTGCAAAATGTGATTAACGACCGGTTTGGGTTTTCCTCAATAGGAATTTAAAGCAGTCAAGTGTTGAAATCCACACTGCAATCTGTGGTGTTAAATTTTCTATTGCAACCAATAAATTAGCATACATGTAGAATAGCACTTGTAGTAAGTACGGATGTGAAAGTGCAGGGACCTCAATTTTCTTGCATGGAAAGGAAAAATGGAATGGAGTTTGCGTATCACTGGGCGAGGACTTCAGTGTAGACCACATTTTTAGCTTTTTGCGAGGGTGAATAAAGGAACACATCCTCGCGCCTGCCGACTCGAGAACAGGCTACGTAAAGTTGGCCGTGTGAGAAGCACTACTCCTCTAAGTGTACACCAGTGACAGACAGCGTTTGTCCTTGGGCCTTATTAATTGTCATAGCAAAACAGGGTGCGACTGTGAATTGGGATCTTCTGAAAGTGAAGGGTATATCGGCATCTGATGAATACAAATGCATTCTTGGGATAAGCACTTGCTCCCCTTTACCACAGCCAGTTAGAATTTTGGCCTCAATAATGTTTGGGTGTAGGACTTGAATATCCATCCTGGTCCCATTACAGAGTTTCAGTGGACGCAGGTTTCTAAGCAACATAACCGGGATCCCCACTTTAAGTTCCAGAATGTGAGTAGGGAGACCAGCGGGGTGGAGGCTGTTTAAGTACTCCACTTGAAAGTTCGCCATTTCAGTGGGGTCTGGAGTTCTGTCAATGGATTTGTAAACGTGCAACACCCCTGGCACAGTTTCCAGAAGCTGTCTATTAAGGGTTGTCACAGTGGTGTTTTTTGGTGCAAGAATTGCCGGCCCAGCAAGCCACTCAATATTGTTGTAGTTGGTTTGAAGATCAGCAAAAACTGATTCCCTGGGTGTTGCTGGCGTTGTGACCACTGTAGACAACCCTTGGACGTTTACAAATCCATTAGTGTCCGCTGGAATAATACCTTCGCCAAGGGCTAAGAATGAATTCGAAAATTCGGCGGACCCAACATCGCCAGTTAGTTGTGCACGCATGTTGGTGGTAAGGTGCAATGGTCTAACAGTGGGCCAAAGTTGTGACGATTTCAAGCACGCTCGAATAGCGTCTCCCTTGTCCCCTTAGCTAGAACGGGGAAGGTCTGGCGAAAGTCACCGGATAGAAGGACAGTTATACCACCCATAAGGTCATCGGAGTTTCGAATATCATTCAAAGAGCGGTTTACAGCCTCGAGTGCAGTTTTGGAACTGACAGTACACTCATCCCAGACGATGAGTTTACATCGCCTGGGTACCTCCGCTAGACCTGATTCCTTGGCTATACTGCATACAGCTGTTTCTGCCTTAATCAGGTCAAGCGGAAGTTTAGGCATTGAGTGCACTGTTCGGCCACCCGTTAGTAATGTGGCAGCAATGCCTGAAGACACTACTGCTAGCGCCACATCGCCATGGTGCCGAATTTCTGAAAGAGGCAGTTTTGTTACGAACGTTTTTCCCGTTCCCCCAGGCATGTCCAGGAAGAAAATTTGATCCTGTATCCTGCCTGGTGGATGCAAGAACCGCATCGTAAGCGGCCCTTTGGACTATGAGAAGTTTTGGCTCATTTGTTGTGACATAGGCGTTGAGCTCCTCAACAGAGTAGGATGTCTCCCGCACAATCTCAGGTGAGAGACTGGAGGAAGCCACACGATGACGCGCCATGCAAGGAAGTCTTGGATTTCGTCTACGGAACCTTCCTGCCGAATACCAAACATTGCAGCATCAGTCCCTTTGTTGATGTACTTGCATACATACTTGATGGAGCGAAGTGAATAGCAATATTCGACATTGATGTGCGCATTGAAGGCTTTTGTTAGCAGGGGGCACTACCCATCTGTTATCCACTTGGTGGCCCTTTACCACGGCTGTAAATCCTCCCTTAGCGGGACTCCTTCGCCGGTATAGTGGATAACCATCGCTCCCTTTAATGGTTTCGCTCACGAAATCTCGTGGGTACTGCCGGGTGCATTTGCCGTCGCTGTTGTGACAGCTGGTGTAATTGTAATGCGACCCGCAGGGACCATGAATCATGTTGGTTGTCACTATTTCGTACAATTCAGGGTCAGCCGACGGATCAGGAATTTCAGCAGAAATAAGATGATCGATTTCTGTGGCCTCAATCTTGTCGCACAGCCAAATTAGTATATGTGCGCGAGGCAGGCCGCGTTTCTGCCACTCAATAGTGTGCATGCGACAGCAAACAGCTCCCGAAACCTGGCCCTTTGTAATCACATCCATTAGCTTTCCCAACTTCAGATGGTAAACGCGCGCAATGAGATCTGGGCGGTCGTAGGCCGGTTGCCCTGGCATAAGTTCTTTAGCAAGTGCGTACCATTTTGGGTTAAACGTGAAAGTTATGAATAGGTCTGGTCGGCCGTACTTACGAACGTATGCAATCGCCTCTTGCGTCCCCGCGTGCATGTATCGTGGACTGCCTGTGAACGTTGCAGGTAGTATGCACATCTTGCCTATATTGCGTGGATCAGCGTCATTTCGTAAAGCATCACGGAAGTGAATGTAAGAGTCGTAGCGCAACTTGGTCTGATTCAGTCTGATGTAACAGAATCTTTCGGATTCCATCTGCCGGCTTCGATGAAGATGATTGAATGCACCCTCATGTACCCTCAATAGGTAGGCGTAGAAAGCCCTGCAAGACACTGTTTTTAAGGTGGACCCATTTTGCAGAATGCCAAAGTGGTACCCATCTTCTCCGTAAGGGGATAGAAGTGGGTATTGCAGTGCATCGTAGCACCGGTGCGTTTCACTGATTCTTCGGAGCCCACTGCCGCGCGATTTGATAACAATGTCACGCCTGTTGTGCTGATCACCGCTGACAATGACGGAAACTTCGTTACTTGCGGGAGCATTGTAACGACGTTCGTCCACTCCCCGAGGCCGTTTGTCAGCATCAATTACAATAATGAAATCAGAAGAAGTGTTATTTCCGAGAGCATACTTAAAACTGTGGACATAGCTGTTTGTCTCGTGTAGCATTTGTTGGAGACTCATTATGATATCCCTGCGAGGATGATTGTCCTGGCCTGTATCGTTCTCGGGAATAATGCCCATGCGGGCATCTGCCAGTTGATTGTAGTCAGCTATGAAGTATATTTGTAGAAAGGTCGAATCAGTGGCAGTTTCCGGCAAAAGAGACCCAATCCGGTGGTAAACCTGACCTTGAACATTGAAGGTGGGATTCCAAGCGACTTCGCAGAGGGCATTACCACCAAAAGAGGTCATCTGGAATGCACAATTGTACTGTCTGATTTTTGCGAGGACTGCTACCCTCCAATAGAGCTTTCAACGGAGCAGGTAGGTCTTGAAAAGATGGCAACTGTACCTTACCGTCTGAACAACACAAACCTACAGACTCTCCAGGCCATTTTTTGGCATTGAAATGCATGCAGGCAACTGACATGGATCCTATTTGGAGGTCTTTGCGACCGGAAAGCCTCAAAACTGGCTCATGGTTGAACGCCAGCTTAAACCAAAACTGCTTTGGTGGGCTACAGAGGCCTCGCTGTGCATGGCGGCGCTGGTTAACAGTCTCCAACCTTTCACGCCTTTCAGTAGGTCCTTCTACAGCTCTAGCAGCGGAAGTTGAAATTGAATCGCGTTGCCGCCTTGTGCGCTTTTGCGCGGAACTTTCCGAGGCCCTTGCAGCAGAAGTTGCAGCGGCGTCGGCTCCATGGCGTGCGGTTTTTTCAGCCATGGATTCCTGAGACCGTCGAATGGACGTTGCCGCGGCTTTCGCTGCGTTACGTGCGGTTTTCTCAGCCGTGGTCTCCTGGGACCGTCGAATGGACGTTGCAGCGGCGTCGGCTGCATTGCGAGTAGCTTTTCGATGCAGGCTCTGTCGAGACCGCAAAAGCGCTTGCGATGAAGACGCCAGCCGCTACTCCCCCAAGTAGGCGCACTCAATGGAATCCTGCTCCCGTTTCCCCTTAGCCGGTGAGGCTTTTTTAGAACGCCTGCTAAGGTTGGCTCGCCTGGGTGTTTTTGCAGCCTTTGCAGAGCTGCCGGGTTGGTCATCGCCACGGCACGCAGAAGAGTGCAAAGCAGAAGTTGAAGTAGACACTATATGATCATCTGTAACCGGAGTTATTATGTGCTCCTCCGCAGTTGCCTGTTCTGCATGTGCAACGTTAACGGTATTAGGGTTAGGAAGAGGTTACGCAACCAAAACGTTGAAGCGTTGAAGGTTAAAAAGTAGTGAAACACTGTGGTGTACTGGGCCGCGTAGTAAAGGCAGAAGAGAAGAAACTTGCGACAGCAGTTAACTGTCTAATAGCAAAACTGAACAACGAAAAGGTAGAAATATGTATGGAACGCTAAGATGCATTGGGCTGCGCAGTAGAGGCAGCACGCGGAGATAAAATGGGTAATGCAAACGTTTAAGCAAATAGGTAACTTGCAGTAGCAGGAAGCTGTCAATTAATCCAAGGACAGATGCATTGATGGTGATCAAATCAAGACGTGAATGCGGATGCAGCCGCGCTGAAGGTATTTAAAGGGAGCCATTGATTGGTGTAGCATGGACAATGGCCATGACTTAGACCAATGAATGAGCTCACGCAAAATGGAAGATGCACGCGCGCATTCACGCACGCGCGCATGATTTGGCAAGCGCAAGGCTTGGCTGTAAACGGGGTCAAGCTGCCTGCTGCATATGCAGCTTGGCTCTAACGCACGTGATGCCGGCGATGAGAATGCAAGGAGCTGCAATGAAGCGCTTGTTCGTTTGGTTTGTGCGACAACGAAAAGCCGCTAACCGTTTGCCAACATTAACTTTGAAATGGATTGGGAGGAAGCCCCGCTGTTTCAGCGCAAAAACTCCTCGTCAGGTCTGGGATGCGGCCTGGGCTAGGGGAAAAGGTTTAAAGAATTGGAAAATGGACTGCTGAGGGCGAACCCATTTTCACTCAGCACGTATGCGGTTTTTTTTTCAGTAAAGACGCGAATAAAGGAAGTGCTTATTTTGGTAAGATGCGACGATTAAAGCAAAAGTGTTGACAAAGTCGAATATGTCATTTGTGGCTCAAAGTCAGACCTGGTAGCAGGGATAAAAAAAGTAGAATTTCAATGGCCCTGAACCCATTCCAGAATTTGAGGTCAAATGTTTTCTTCCACTTCACTGCACGCACTGACGTGTTTCTTCCCGCGCATAGCGTCACCTTAAATTAATCTGCATTTAGGAAATACCTAACCGGAAAAACATTTTTAAGGGTTCACCGATTGTCGATTTGCACTCTGTTTGGGGAGGCGCTCAGAGTTGAAACTTCACATGGTGACTCCCAATGGCCTCCTCATAAATCCGGTCGGTTTTCGCTAAAAACCGACATGCGGTTCAGGCGCAATCTGGGCGTATCGGTTTTGGTGTTTTATCGATTTTCCGCGCTGTTTAGGGGTCCGTGGTCATGAAACTTCTGGACAACACTTCTAATGGTAGACTCTAAGAGGGTGTCAAATTTGGTTGAAATGCGAGCATTCCTTATGTAAGCAGATTTTTTCGATTATCGATTTTTCGGAACCTGAGTCCAAACTCAAAAATCGGGCTCCGCCGTGTCCTTACGGCAGCCATTTGTAAACTTGTGGTGAAAACCGAATCGAAATTGGGTGAGAAATGCAGCCTGGGCGAGGTAACAACGCCCACGACAGACACACAGACAGACAACATGAGAAATATAATTAGTAGATAGATAGATAGATATGACACAAATATGGTACTGGTCCCTGATACACTGGGAAGACTTGTTATGTCAATGATGTCTGGCCTTAGAAAGAATATGCCATCATGTCTTCATATTTAGTACATATAGTCTCAAAATGACCCTGAAATAGGACATATTTAAAAAAAAAAAAAAAAAGGTAGGGTGCACAGTATCCCTAGTTGGATTGTTAATGATTTAGCATTACACGTCTTACTAATTAACCTATAGATGGGGGTGATTCGTACCTTTCCCAAGAGTATTTGTGCGTAAGTGAATATAATAAACTCAACTGGAATTTGGAACTCAGCTCTGATTAATAGTTACACGCCATTATTCATTAAACCACCTGCAAATCTAAGTTTACAGTACATTGTATTCCAAAGCAGTCACCCATTTAAGTACCAACTAGACTTGACGTTGCTTAACTTCAATGATTGTACAGGGAACTAGTGTTTCAACATGATGTGGCCGTAAGCACTTTATTTCATAACCCTACAAGAAGTGCAACAATTTTTTTTTCTTTCTTCCAACTATATGCAAGGGGGTACTGGAAAATTCTAAGGTTGACCAACGAGTGATTAAAAAAAGATTCTTCTGTTTAGCCAGCCAGTTTTGAAGTGAAGCAGGCCAAAAACTTATCAGTAGAATTATTTTAAGACTAGAAAGACCCAGGAGAATTTCACAGTTTTCCTATTTGAATTTTTGGATGAATCTTAATTCTTAAGTCAATGACTGAATAAGTGCAAGAATATCCATAGAAATTCCTCTATGACATCATTAGATTGTTGCAGGTGTGCTGGTTGTGTTTAGATAGAAAACATCTGCCTCCTGGTATATTTTCCCAAAACAATAATTGCAAACTCAAATGTGAGTCCAGCTAGTATGCACAAAGGACATGGGTCGTTTAATGACCTACATATTTGTTGAAGCTTGAATAAGCATGGAATAATAATAATACAACACAAAATGTACGTAACAAAATGTATTGAAACAATGAAAAAAGGTACACAATATTTACAGGTAGTTTTGGTATATTCTTGGGAAGACTGTTCCTGCAGAATGGGTTGACTAAGTCGCAGTCGGGCAGAGTCTCTGGATTCGATCTCTTAATCTTCCGTCGTCTTCCGGTACCAACCCATATTTATATGGTCGGTACTCCACTTATGTAAATTAGGTGTATCATACACAACAATATTCTACATGAGAAACTATATATTACTAAGTTTATAAAAAAATACTAAATCAGAGAAATTAAATAGCTATTTTATGCCGTCATTGTCAAAAATTTTCCTTAAATAATATTTAAAAATTTAAAAATAAAAATAAATTTAAAAAGGTGCGATCAGGTAGTATACATACTTATATTTAACATGAAAAAAATTTTATATACTGTAAGTAATTCTATTACATTCACTTGTTTTTTCTTTAGAAAAAAAAGTCTATTAAAATAATAGTGAAAATATTTTAAAGTTGTATTTAAAATTGTAGTTAAAACGAATTCTAACCTAAACATCTTTTAAAATTGTAGTTAAAGAAAATATATTCTAACCTAAACACCTCTCAAAAAGTACTACCGGCACTTAAGTGAATCCAATAAAACACCTACTAAAAAATGAAATTATAACGAAAAGCTAGATGATGTAGTCCATTGAATGACCCATATCCTATGTACATACATATGAAACTTTATTACTAAGTTTATATATAAAAATAAATAAATAAATAAAGTTTACTAAATCAGAGAAATGAATTAGCTATTTTTGCAGTAAGTGCCATAAATATTACTTAAATAATATTAAATATAAAAGTTTAAAAATCGTAATATACATATACTTGATATGGAAAAATAATTTTACTTACTATAAGTAATTCTAATACATTTCCTTCTATTATAAAGTAATATAGTCTATTAAAACTCACAATGAAAATATTTTAAAGTTGTAATTAAAATTGTAGTTAAATTAAATGAATTCTAACCTAAACTTCTTTTACTTAGTACTACACGCACTTAAAAAATCCAATAAAACACCTACAGTAAAATAAAATTAATATGAAATGCCAGAAGATGTAAGCTTTTGAATGACCCATGTTCTTTGTACTTACATGAGAAACAATATATTACTAGATTTATATAAAAAATAAAAGTTTACTAAATCAGTGAAATTAAGTAATTATTTTTGTCATTGTCATAAATTTTACTTAAATAATATTTAATTACAAAAAAAAAATTTGTAACCTAATATACATACTTATACTTGATGTAAAAATAATTCTACATACTATAAGGGATTCTAATACATTTAATTGTTCTTAAAAAATATAGTATAATAAAAATTAAAAATGAAAATATTTCAAATCGTAGTTAAATAAAACGTATTCTAACCTAAACACCCCCAAAAATCTTTAAATTTACAAATGGAAAAAAATGCCGTAAGAATTTTTTGCCGTTAACAATAAATTTTTAAAAAAAATCCAGACGACATGCATTCAACGGATGTCAGATTTCATTGAAAAATACATCCCTACCCC